TGTTGTCTCGGATTCTCCAGCATCTGCAGTTCCTACTATCTCTACTACTTCTGGTGTAAAGATGTCTTGCTGCAGCTGTATAGAGCCTTGGTGAGACCTCACCTGAAATACTGACTACAGTTTTAGAGTCATCTAAAGAAGGATGTCTTGCCTTTGGGTGATGTTAAAGAGATTCACCATGAAATTCAGGGTTCAAACTTGAACCATAACACAATAAGAATATCCCTGACGCTATTAGATAACGTGCTTTCACCAGCGCCATATTTTGACATAGGCGAGATGTAAAATTTATAGACCGTTTAGGGAGGAAACTTTGTGCCTATACCGACTACGAACCAAGTCAAGACCTCTCCATTCCACAGAACTGGGAGATGGGGTCTGTAATGGATTCAAATCACAGGTCTCAGAGGAGAAAGGAAGAACGTGCAGAGCATCACACAGAGTAATTTCTGTCAAACACTCGACAGCAGAAGACAGTTTAATAGAGTGACCTTGGCCAAAAAGCATCTTGAAGTGAACATTCCTTTTATCTGAAACGATCAATTACTGGCATGACATGATATCTGAATTAGGAATAAAAATGCTTTGAACCTCTATAACAATAGTGTTTTTTTTCAGGGCCTTTAACTATAAAGCACACTTGGCTGCATACAAAGCAACACAATGGCTTGTGTTTATCCACAGGGTCTTATTTCTTTCCTTCCTCTTTTGACCCCATTCTGTTCTGAATGTGGTGAGACTTTAAGGTACGGTCTGAAGAATGATGTTAGTTGTTCAGCACCTCCCTGCAATGAGTGTTCTTCATGTGTCAACCTGAACATGTCTTTGCTATAAAGGCACCAAGGCAGGAGCAGACCCTTTTCCTGCTCCCGAAAGCTGATTGCAAGACTCCAACGTAAACATTCAGCAGCAGCAAACTCTCAGGTCAAAGTACAAAGACTGCTATCCACAGTCAATCCAATTAATAATATTGCTTCACAAAATGCTCAGCAGAATGGGTGAAGTCAAGGCCTTCCAGACCATATGTGCAGCACTTCAATCAACTCCAGTTGTGAGAAGGGATGACATACTAAATGGGTTAACAAATGAAGCTTTGAGTTGAGCATAGGAATAAAAATGGGGCAGCCACATTACTAGGAGTATATTACAGACCTCCAAATAGTGAGAAGGAGATATGTAGACAACTTTCTGCCTGTAGGAAAGAGTGGGCAATAACAAGAGGAGACTTTAACTATCCAATATGAACAGGATTTCAAACAATGTAAGGGGCAGTGAGGGAAAAAAAAATTCATTTACCGTTGCCTGGAAAATTTTTTTGAACAATATGTGACAAGCCCAGATTTTGGATTTAGTTTTAGAAAATGAAGATGGGCAAGTGGGTGAAGTGACATTGGACTACCATGTCAGGGATAGTGACCACAATTCAGATGGATTTACTATTGTTATGGAAAGGACAGAGAGAAATCAGGAGTAAAAGTTTTTAAAATTGGGTGGGTGGGTGGAGAGAGAGAGAGAGAGAGAGAGAGAGAGAGAGAGAATGTGAAAGTGCAAGAGAGAGAGAGGGCAAGAGATTTTACAAGACCAGATGTGACTTGGCTGAGGTGGATTGGCCAGGGCTGCTAAAGGATAAATCAGTGGTAGGCACTAAAACATGAGATCGTTGGGGCACGTGGCCAAACATGTCCCTCCAAAAATAAGAATGGTATTGCCAAATCTAGAACCCCATGGTGTCTGGGAAAATATAGGGAAGATTAAACAGAAAGAGAAAGCTTATGACAGTCACAAAAAACTCAACACAGCAAATAGCCCAGAGGAGTATAGAAAGTACAGGGATGAAAACAAAAAAAAATAAGGAAATACAAGAGAGGGCATGAAAAAAATATTAGCAAGCAAGATAAAGCAAAACTCAAGGATGTGAAACCGGTATATGTAGAGCAATAGGATTAAAGAAAAATTGGGACCCATCAGAGATGAAAAAAGGAACTTGTGTGAAATTTCAGAGGATTTGGGAAGAACTTTAGATGAATTTTTCATCTCCAAATTCTCAAAGGAAAGGGATGATGTGGATTCAGTAAACCAAGAGGAACAGTGCGAAATTTTAGACAAATAATCATAAACGAGAGAGAAAGTGTTAAAAGGAGTTAGAATCCTTAAAAGTGGATGAGTCGCCAGGGCCAGATGGATTGTTCCCTGGGATGTTGAAGGCGGTCAGGGAGGAAACAACTGACATTCTGGAGACTCATCACTAGACACATGAGGTGCTGGAGGACTGGAGTAATGCAAATGTGGTTCTGTTGTTCAAAAGGATATGAAAGAAAAACCAAACAATTATAAGCTAGTTAGTCTTACTTCGGTGATGGGCAAACTGTTAGAATCAATCCTGAGAGATCAGATAAATTGTCACTTAGAAAAGCATGGACTAGCCAGGGATAGTCAGCATGGCTTTGTTAAGGGAAGGTCATGCCTTACAGATTTGATTAATTTCTTTGAGGAAGGATCAATGAGAGTAGTGCAGTAGATGTTGTCTGCATGGATTTTAGTGAGGCATTTGACAAGGTCCCACATGGTAGACTGGTCAATAAAGTAAAAGCCCACGGGATACAGGGTAACACATCGAATTGGATCCAAAGTTGGCTTAATAACAGAAAACAAAGGGTAATGGTCAATGGCTGCCCTTGCGAATGGAAAGCTGTTTCAAGTGGTGTTTTGTGAGGCTCAGTGTACGGACCTGTGCTGTTTGTTTTATATGTTAACAATTTGGATTTAGTGTGCAAGTGCGAAAAGGTAGCAATACAGATAAATAAGATTGTAAAAGCAGCATATGGAATGTTCTCCTTCATTGGCACAGGTATAGAATACAGAAGTAGAGATAGAACTGTATAAGACAGTGGTGAGGCCACAAATGGAGTAATGTGTGCAGTTCTTGTCAGCACATTACTGGAAAAACATAATTGCTTTGCAAAGATTGCAGAGAAAATTTACTAGAATATTGCGAGGGCTGGAGAACTGTAGCTACAAGGAAAGATTGGAGAGGTTGAGTTTGTTTTCCTTGGAACAGAGAAGGCTGAAGGGTGACATGATTGAGGTATATAAAATTGGGAGGAGTTGAGATAGAGTAGGCAGGAGAGACATGTCTCCCTTGGCAGAGAGTTCAAAAACCTGGGGTCATAGATTCAAGTTAAGTAGCACAAGGTTTACAGGGAACGCAAGGAAAAAAACTTTTCTTTAAATGCAGAGGATGGTGGGTGTCTGGAATGCGCTGCTCGAGTTCGTGGTGGAGGCAGAGACCTTAAACTCCTTCAAAAAAGCACCTGGATGTGCACCTTAAGTACTGCAAGCTGCAGGGCTAATGGGCCATGTGCAGGAAGATGAGATTAGAAAGGACATCTAGGTGCCTTTGGGTCACCACGGGTAATATGGACTGAACTGTATCGTTTCTGCGGTTTCTCTAATTTCAGAATACGCTCAAAGCATGCCGCACGAAATGAGATAGCTGCATTTATTCAGCAACTGAGGAATTGAAAAAAAAAACAGGTTCAGTAGATGCTAGACTCAAGGATGCTCCAATTCAATCCAAGCTTGTCTTCAATGAACGTAAACAAGGCTATACAAAATGAGAAGGGGCGAGCAATTCTCAGATCCTACTGCAGATTAGCAGCTCTTTAACTTTCAAGGAATCCTTATCAAATGCATCAGCATTCATAGAGATACATTACACTATTAAATACTCATAATATGCTAGTGCTACATTTCAGAGGCAAACGGGACAAACTTATTGTTTGCGTTCTTCTTTAGAATTTAAATATGTAGTGCATCGAGATTACATTGAAATAACTCACATCCTTAAACAACGTTGAAATTACCTGGTTCCCACTACCAGTCATGGAGATGGAGGGTCTGTTATACGATCTATGTGTCATTCTCACCTTCTGTGAATAAAGGGAACGGCCAGCCCACTCTGCAATTATACGCAAAACAGCCACATTCCACACTTCTCGAACCTTGTCCGGGGCCCAGTGGAAAGTCTCCACGGATCTCTGTTCGACAACCACTGCTCTCATCATTTTCCACTCCATAACTACCACCAAGAAAACCAAATCATAAAATCTGTCCCCACAATGACGAGAAAACGGGTAAGAGGAGAAGGAAAGGAAAATAAAACTACATTCAACTGAGGTCAATCCTTAGCTCTGGAAACTGTCAAACATCAGTTTAATATTCACAAGTACTATTTTGTGGGAGCCTTCCCTCGAATGATTATTTCGTATATAAAATTATGCCAAAACACAAACAGTTCTTAAAAGAACACATGGAGAAAAATGCAGGCCTGCACTTTGGAAGGAATATTTAATGTGACGTGCCTTATCTTGAGAGTCCCATATTTGCAGCACGCTTTGGTTCAAGTGGTTACCAGACATTATGAAAGAAAACAAGTACCTTTTCTGTAACTGGGAAGAGTAAAAGGATCGAGCAAACGGGTCGTGGCACCAAACTCAGGAGTTCAGGATCCATTCCAAAAACGTCACCAAATTGCCAGGTGGGCAGCAATCCTAGTTGTTGCATGAACTGGTGGGAAAATGCCTCAAGTCAATTCGACAGGTAAGTTCTTCTTTACATAGTCATCATGCACACAATTAAAATTCACTGAATAGAATGAAACCCACACTGACTAGAATTAGATAAACACCACATTGTTGCTTGAGAAAACAAAGACTCTTACACAGTGTCAATGAAGACGTCTGGCATTCCAACAAGTGAGCATAAATTACTCGTGCTTTGGGCTTCTCATGAATGCAGGTCCCAAAGCGATGAAATATTTCCCATGTGTAGTCACTGTTATAATTTACAAACAGCAGCAGCCAATTTGCACACAGAAATCCCCTAAACAATTGCAATGGAATGAACAGCAAGGTAGACTGGTGTTATAAAGTTAATAGAGGGCATAGGAGGTAACTTGCCTGCTCCTTTTCAAAAAGTAATGCAATTTTTTTTTAATATCAACCCGAGAGGGCAGATACTGCCTCGATTTAATATCTTTTCTGCAACAAGACATCTCCAACAATGCAGTGCTTCCTCAGTACTGCACTGGGGAGTCTTAGAGTTTATATATTGTACTCAAGTCGCTGGAAATGGAGAGTAGTCCCACAACCTTTAGACTCAGAGACTTGAGTGTTACAAATTAAGCCACAACTGGCATCTGACTATTCTTACACATTTGTCTAGGAGGGCAGCAACTGATGTTTCCTTTTTAAAGTCAGCAGTCTCCTGTCATTTATAGCCTAAATTAACATCATAAACCATTACTTGGTCCCAGCTTTTCAAAAAAAAAATGGTTTAAAAAGCTGAAGGGTGGAACATTGGGACAGTGAGCAGATCTTCACAGAGTAGGAGCAGGACAATTCTCAACCATGACATTAATCACCTTGGGGTAGAGTTTCCACTTTGGGCACAATTGGCATTTCCAGAAATTGTCACCATTTTGAAAACGGTTCACCACCCCAGCCCCTAAGTTTCTATTTTAACTAATTTGAACTTCATTTGACAGCATTACTCCTTAATTTTCCTTTCGAAAACAAAAAAAAACACCATAGTTTTAAGAGTGGTAACTAGGCAAAGTTTGATCAGTACAGTTGAAACTCTATTTACCTTAAATAAGACAGACATTTTAAATAGAGATGACAAGGTGTCGAGCTGGATGAACACAGCAGGCCAAGCAACATCAGATAAGCAGGAAAGCTGACCCTTCTAAAGAAGGGTCCAGACCCGAAACGTCAGCCTTCCTGCTCCTCTGATGCTGCTTGGCCTGCTGTGTTCATCCAGCTCGACACCTTGTCATCTCAGATTCTCCAGCATCTGCAGTTCCTACTATCTCGGAGACATTTTAACCCAGTGCCGACTGACCATCTATGAGTAACTCCGTTTTAAAATGACTGAAAAATGACAAATATACAAAACTATATTCTTGCCTTTGGTTTACAGAATCCCCTCAATAATTTTTAAAGTTTCAAATAAAATTGTGTACCTAAGATGATATTCCTGGTACTATCCTTTCAGATAAACAGTTTAGATTAAGGAGTACTTTGTTAAATCAACTCAGTCCCGTTCACTTATTCGTGCCTGTGGTAAAAACTCCTTTTGTACAGCTATTCTGAAAAGACATGACTGCCCAACTTGATCTAATCACAAACTAACATCGCCATCTAGTGTGTGAAAGGAGAGCCGTTTGATTCCCCGGTGCAAAACATTCAAGCAGCTGACTGCACTACTATCAGCACTTCCATTTCACAATTTTAAATTTGGAATTTAAAAAATCTTCCATTAGTATCTGTTTAAAATGATGGATTTTTCCCTTTATTACTTTCTGAAAATTGTTTGGATTGTAGTCTCTGGAACCAAATCTGTAAAATAACAACCTTCCTATGAAATCACAATTTGGTTGAGACCACAGAACAAAAGCAAACGTGTATTCATTTTAAAAGCTGCCTTCTAGTGCTGAATGGTAATTGGAACTGATGAGGCTGAAATTTCCCGGTTCGTTACCACCAAACTCTCTAAATATAATCTCACTCAGTGCAGGGTACATAAAAACACATTTCCTATTCTTTTGGCTAGACCTGTATTTCTTGCCTACCCCCAAATGCCCAGTGGGCAGTTAAGAGTCAAGCACATTGTTGTGGGTCTGGAGTCACATTTGGGTCAGATAAGGATGGCAGAATTCTTACCCTGTAAGTGATCTGCCAATAGTCACCATTAGATTGTTTTCTTTTATTTCTGACTAATGGTAATAAATAATTATCAAATCAAACACACAGTCAACTGTCCTCACTGCTCCCCCCTTCTGACAATCAGCATGCCACAAGAATGTCAAGAGTTCAATGTAAAATGGAATGACTTTCCTTTTTCCCCCTGAAAGATCCCAAATTCTAAGGGCATCCTACTGACATGACTTACTTCTCTCTGTGGTCCCTGACAAATTGTGATCACTGTCATATGCAGAACCATATCACAAGGCCCAGAAGACTATCAATATTAATCTAAATGTACAACTTTTTCCAAATTAATACCTCCTGAATAAAAACTGAAAAGCTGAGATTTAAAGAGATAATTCGTGGAAAACTCCAAATTGAAATCTACTTAACAGTCTCTTTTTTAGCTTGAACTAACTCATTTTTACAATGCAACTGTAATACAACTTAATTGTGGTTCTCATCAGCAGTTCAACAATAACTAGAAACCACTGCTAAAAGTCAAACAGTAACTCAAGGATTTAACACAGAGTGGAATTCACACTTGGCATGAAGATGAATACGTTTTCATCTGCTAAGAATTTGCTGAGTAAGAAGCATCTGAGTCAAAGGGTCTCCATTTACAGAATACTTTCATCACTTGACCCAGTACACCACATTCACAGCAATGTGATGTTATAATCTGTGCAAAAGGCCTGACTCAGCAGAATTTATTAAAAATGATTTCCAATTTTTTCTGCTATCAGCTAAGAAATTATTGCGCTCTTCCGTAAGACGTTCATGACTTCAGACTTGCAGTTAAGAACAGTCTTTTCAAAAAAGAACCACGATTTAAAAAGCTGAAGGGCAGAGGGCAGAATCAGATTTTCACAGAGTAGGAGCGGAAGATTTGTCAACCATGACATTAATCACCTTGGGCATGATTAGCGTTTCCAGAAATTATTGTCCTTTGGGAAAGGGTTGACCACCCAACCCACAAGTTTCTACTTAAACTAATTTGCATATCATCAAATATCACAAACAATTGAGCTGCTTTTGACAGCATTTCCCCTTTATTGTTCTCTCCTAAACAAAATCCTTCAGCTTTAAGAGTGGTAACCTGACAAAGTTTGATCAATACCAGCTGAAATTAGATTTATCTAAACAAAAGACACCATAAATAAATGTCAATTGACCATTTGACAGTAACTCAGTTTTAAGTGACTAACATACAAAACTATATTCTGCTTTTAAAATAAAACAGAAGTTGCTGGAAAAACAACAGAGGAAGGGGTCACCCGACCCGAAACGTTAACTCTGATTTTTCTTCACAGATGCTGCCAGACCTGCTGAGCTTTTCTAGCAACTTATGCTTTTTTTCCCCCCTGATTTACACCATCTGCAGTTCTTTCGGTTTTTATATTCTGGTTAGACTGGCACTCAGTGGTCAGCTCCTGAGTAAATTTTAAAAATGTGATTCAAATTGTTTGCGTCTTCGCACCCAAAAGGTCCAGTATCGTCTTTAGTCGGCAATGGCATGCAGGTGAAGGTATCAGTGGAAACTCCCAAAGGCAATTAATTCACCTTGCGGGTTTGACTTGCAACTAAAATTCTGCAATCTTTTGCAATCGGTTCTGGTGGTATGCAGTGGGGGAGGAGGCAGAAAATTCCACCAACTAACCTAGCACTATCACATTGAAACTTCAAGCTCCCATCTCACATATTCAGCAAACATTTACAGCCATTACCACAAGAGTTTATTCAGGCAGACATAGAATAGAGAGTCTCCTGAGAATACACTGTTGGGAGAGACCCTCGTCAATTTGACTGAGGGGCCTTCGGGCAAATTCCTAAGAAGGGACATTGGGGCAGAGACACCATCTCAAATATCCCTACAGACACAATTGATCAGCAAAAGGGAGCACGGTGGCTCAGTGGTTAACACTGCTGCCTCACAGCACCAGGGACGCAAGGTCGATTCCATCTTTGGGCAACCGTCTGTGTGGAGTTTCCTCAAGGTGCTCCGGTTTCCTCCCACAGTCCAAAGATGCGCAGGCTAGGTGGATTGGCCATGCTAAATTGCCCACAGTGTTCACAGATGTGTAGATTAGGTGGGTTATAGGGGAATGGACCTGGGTGGGATGCTTTGAGGGTCGGTGTGGACTTGTTGGGCCAGAGGGCCTGTTTCCACACTGTAGGGATTCAATGAAGACTGGGAAAGTCCACATTGCAAGATTTGTGTAGGATTCTGGTCTAAAGCAAGGAGCTGAACACAAAACCCCCTCAGTCTTTGCATTTGAAAGCCGTCTAGATTGAAAGCCGTCTAGAAGGAAGGGAAAGAAAAAAAATAAAGACGGGCAACAGAAAAAAAATAAGCTGGCCTCCAAAAGGGACTGACTTATTATTTATTCCCCAGTGCTCAAGTACCAAAGAGAGATTAAGTGCAATAATTTAATTTGTTAGAACTGCTCCTCAGTTGATGCCTGTAAAACAGATTTATATCTAATCTAATCTGACAAAATGAATGTGAACCTGCTTTCAGGTGATTTGTGTATAGTTTTCAAAGGACACGAGAGATGGAAAGAGGCTAAGAATGCAAGAGTAAGGTAAAAGAACACTCTGCCACCGATAGTAGGGGGTAGGGAGCTAGCAGCTGAAGTAATATGCAATAAAGCATGGTCCGAGAACATGGGGGTTAGGACAGCAGAAGATGATACAAGACAATGGACGGATGTGAAGATAAGTTATAGGTATTCAGGGGTTTTAGGATAGACAGTTAGTGAGAGTTACCAAGGCCAGATTAATGCATGTGCAGTCTGTGCAAAGGAAGTGCAAGGTTGCAGTTACAAATAAGTGGAGTTTCTGTTGTGTAGAAATAGTGACAAGCAAATAAATCATTTAAGAAATAAGGCTTTCAAGTAGCAAAGGATGATTGAGACTTTCAACATGGAAGACAAAAGACAGTAAACAGAAGTCTACTATCTAGATTATGGTTTAAGAATGGGGCATCAGGCTCACTCACTGTGAAGGACAGCAAGATCCTGCAACATCAGGTTCACTCAGAGCACCTAGAGAGTGAATACTCCTCAGAGTACCTAGAGAGTGAATACTCCTCAGAGTCACACAGCACAGAAACAGAGCCTTCAATCCAAACAGTTCACGCCGACCACGCTCCCAAACTCAGTCCCACCCTCCTCTGCTTGGCCCATATCCCTCCAAATGTCTCCTATTCATGAACTGATCCAAATGTCTTTTAAACATTATAAAGTACCTGTGTCCACCACTTTCTCTGGCAGTTCATTCCACAAACAAATTACTCTCTGGGTAAAAAAAGTTGCCCCTCATGTCTTTTTTTAAAATCATTCTCCTCACCGTAAAAATATGCCCCCTGGTTTTGAACTCCACCAGCCCAGGGAAAAGACCCTTGTCATTCACTAACCTATGCCTCTCATGATTTTATAAACCTCAATAAGGTCACCCCTCAACCTTGTAGGCTCCAGTCAAAAAAAGTCTCAGTCTTTCCAGTCTATTTTAATATCTAAAACCATCCTTTCCTGGTAACATCCTGGTAATTTTTTTCTGTACTCTCTCTAGTTTAATAATATCCTTCCTATATCAGGGCGACCAAAATTGCACACAATGCTTCAGAAGAGGCCTCACTAACGTCCTGTACAACCTCAACATGACGTCCCAACTCCTATACTCAAAGGTCTGAGCAATGAATGCAAGCGTGCTAAATGCCTTCTTAACTACCTGTGATGCAGATTTCAAACCTGTAGGTCTCTTCAGTCTTCACAGTAGTCAGCTCAAGAAATGCTCTCTTAATCAGAATCTCAATACTCAGCTGGATAACCAGGTGGCACACTTATAACGAAGACAACGCAGCAGACCAATGCAAAGCTCTAAAACCACTGAAATTAATGTTGGGCACAGGATAAGGCAAGGAAGGATTAAGCTACTGCCATCCTTGGCAAGATATTGTAATCACCTGGTGACATGTTTACATAGCAAATCCCCATTATAAATGGAGGACAAAAGAATTTAGAATGGACACATAAAAATGGACAGAGTACATTAAAACAGGGAGTTAAATTCTACCTGCTTGAATTATTGCAGTCCAAAGACTCCATTTACATCAGCTCTGTGTACAAATGCCGCAGTAGGTCAATTAGTTTAAGAGATCAATTATATAAAGCTAAACAAATAGGGTAAATGTAAATCATATAGCAAGTACTGGAACATTAAAACATTCACAGGAGATTATTTGAACTGGTAACTAAATTGGCGGCAGGGAGTCAGAGAATACTGAAGTAATTCATTCTAGAAAATATGAACAAATTTAATGTTAGTGGAAGCAGATGGTTAGGACACCAATGACAAAACAAAATGGAAAGGATGCTTTTCATACAATAACTTGGAAGTATGGGGGAAGTCCGCAACAAGATTTCGGGAGGATATAAAATAAACGACATTCAAAGCTTTGATGAATTGGAGACCAAGATTTTAAAAGCAGCCTAAGACCAGAAAGATTGAGCGTATGTATAAAAGTGCAACAAGTGGATTTTACCAAGCGTAAACACGAGATCATCAACTCTGGGCCTAAAAAGGATTAAGCAGGACATACTCTAAATTGAAATGTTCAAAATAGTGGAGGCCGAAACAGTGTTTATTAAAATGTCATGAACAGTTATGGAAAATAATCAAAAAGACTTATAGAAGTCTGACCTTTGCATCGAGAGGAATACAAAACTACATGTTGAAGCTGTGTTTTAGCTCCACAAAGCCTATTCTAGACCATGCCTGGAGTTAGTGCAAGGAGTTTCGGCCATTGGACCTATCTATTGGCCTTGGACAGACTGCAAATAATTTACTTAACAAGGAGGAAAGATTTAAAAAGGATCCGAGGGAGCCAACATTTTCATGCAGAGGGTGGTGCAAGAATGGAACGAGCTGTCAGAGGAAGTGGAGGAGGCAGGTACAATCACAAAATTTAAAAGGCATCTGAATGGGCATACACGAATAGGAAGGGTTTAGAGGGATGTGGGTCAAATGCTGTGAAATGGAACTAGGTCAGATTGGGATGCCTGATGGGTGCAGATAGGTTCGACCAAAGCTTCTGTTTCTGTACTGTATGACTCTATGACTATGACTGACTCAGTAAAACTCAAATCATCACAACTAGAAGATGAAAAAAAGTTCTATCCCTAGTGCATTATTTGTCTATATAGTGTAAGCAGTAGGTCAATATCACCTGATTCTCCAGTCGTCTCTTTCAACCTAATGATCAGAGTTTTGTTGAATCCTTAAATGGCCATTGCCTGTCAACATTCTCAATGTATCTTGACTCATTATCAAGTCTTAAACATGCATAGCATTAGTCAAATTTATAAACCTTGAGGGATTTGAAAATAAAGCCAAAAACAGAATAAAATTTGCCTTTCCGGGACAGAAACATCTAAAGCAGCAAACGTGACTATAAATAAAAGGAGGCTTGCTCAGAAACTGCTCTACAGCCTCAGTCTATATCTCAGCAAGTTTAATTCAGTTAGTAATTAAACCACACCATCCCAGGATTGAACAATGGTGTGCAGTGCATTAGCTATCTCACTAAATGGACGTAACAGGGTTATATTAACAAATGATTCAAAGTCTCTAGATGAAGGATGATAACGTTCGCAGTCCAGGAACATCTGCTGTAAGTGTAGAGATCAGGGGTCAGGCTGTGTATCATCTTCCTGTGGCAAACAAGCTGCCAATGGACCCTGACAAGGTTCACATCTGACCATCGACTGAGCAAACATAGTACCCAGGAGACTGACCTACCACAACACAGGAAGGTTTCTATAACAACAGAACAGAACAAAGTAAACATAAAACAAAGAATTCCAAATCATTTTCAAATATGTAAAAGCAAAATGCTGCAGATGCTGGCAATCTAAAATAAAGACACCAATTTATGGAAATACTCAATAGGTCATGCAACATCTGCATTGTGGTCCAATCATTTCAAATTGTGTTCCAGAAAGAATATTTTTAACATGTTTTAGTCAGGATGTACATTAGTCAAACTACAGACATGCTGAATAAACCCCTTGAGTATTACTGACTTCAGGTAGAACGCAATAAAAAAAAAATGCCTGATACAAACTCAAAAACTGTAAATGATGATTTGGTATTAATACAGTTTACGTCTGTAAAATTATATCCCCAAAAAGCCAAAACTAAAACATGTTTTTTTTAAGAAAAGGAAATTACAGTTCTCAGACATTATCACAATGTAGTACATAATACTGAGATGAATGGTGAAAAAAAAGTAAACTTCCAAAATAAGGAGAATACCTGGTCACAATCCAATTTGATTATAAGGACAATGAGTTGATAATGGTGAAGCTTAAAGGAAACTAAGCAAGTTCAGCCATACCCTCCTGTGAATCATCCATCTTTGCTTGTTGTGATACAAAACAGCTCTTTGGGTCAAATCAACATCGTACTACTACTACTACTACTACTGCATAAACCGTTTTTTTTGGGCTTGTGAACATCCACTAACAACAATGCTGATGCACTGTACATGTAACTTACGAGAAACACTTGGAGCGATCATTGGTCGTTCTATAGATAAGGTGCAACATCAATGTACTCACATCATTGTACAATGCAAAATGTAAACGTGCAAGAATGTTAAAGCTTTTTTCTTTGTGAGAGGCTTGTGAAATGTTAACTATATTACCAGGCACTGTGATTGCTAGGGTACTATGTTCTCCTGAAATTTATCACTATTGTGCACACAGTTCACAACAGGTCAGTAAACTAAGAGTGGTGGAGACAGGGTCAATGAATATTTTTAGGTAGACAGATTCTTAGCTAACAAGTGAGGCAAATGATATTAGGGGTATGCAGGAAAGGGGGATTGAGGGCACAAGCAGATCAGCCACGATCTTATTGAATGGCAAAGTAAGCTCAAGAGGCGGTATGGTCTACTCCTGCTCCTTAAAGGAAAAACCAATCAAACCAGCAAATGACACATAGTGATCCAACTCTTCTTGTATGTATTAAACTGGAACTCCTCCACAGGACCTTTTCTCTCTAGTGTGTTAATTTTCCCATGAGGTCAAGTGCCCTATCATGTGCTTTAAGATGAAATGAGTTTCCATCCAGTGAATTAAGACAGATATTTGCCGAGTGGGGATGCATTTCAACATGAAGCTTATTTTTAAGAGTTGAGGCCACAGTCGGATCAGCCATTAAACTAAATAAAATGGTGAAGCAACCTCAAGTGGTGGTATGGCCTATTCCTGTTTCAAGCTTTTTTAGAAGACCAGGAATGAAAAGCAAATATCACAGTCTTTCACAATGGCGAAGTTCTGATTGATGTGCCTACTGGCAAAAAGAAAATCCCACTCGAATCCTAGGACTTGTGGAAATTGATACAATTTAACGTAGATGTAAAATAAAAGACAGTGATACACGGAAATCAACGTACTGACGGAGCTCCATTTTGTAATACACTCAATGCCTTATTTGCCAGTATTACTGTGTTTTTCATTCTGTGTTAAATTGGCTGCCGCCCATTTTGCAAGTTATTGAAACTAACAACAATCCCACCATTATTCAAAAGGGGTAAAAAAAAACACATTTACAAAAGTGTCCAGTGGAAGTGCTCCAGAACTGATTGCCAGGAGTCGAACAGCACCACTGTCTCCCCTCTGCAGCTCCGGTAACTCACCTGGTTCATGACCTAGAAAAATCAAAGAAACAATAGATCAATCAGCACTAAAAGGGTAAGACTGGTACAAGCAATCTACAACGTTTATCCCAGCAGCATCGACTGGTCGTAGCTTTTAAACAAAATGCATACATCAGGATTCGCTTCCAATGGTAACCAACGTTGACACTCCATTGCTATTTTCAGTTTGGTGAAGCTTCTCCAACAAGCACTCTGCTTCTGCCTCTCCCCTTGCAGCTAGCCACGCTTCCGCTCAGAGAGAAAAAAATGACCCTTTCGAAGGCAATCCTTGCAACTTGAAAGGAGGTGAGGGAGAAAGCAAACGTCCAGCAGGGAATAAAACTCAGTGCACCATCGAAGTGATGCATGCAACAATTTAGAACAACGGCTTAAGTTTGGAAAAAGGCTTGAATGGTTTAATGGTTCCTCATTAAGGAGAATGCAAGGCTTGATATAAAATGAGCAATTCCCTTAGCAGTGCTAGTGGTACATGCGGTCAGAGGGCAGGGTTGAAACAAGAGCAGCCAATCACCAGGCGTCGAGCTCACGTTGCCCAATGGAACGTTGGAACTTTCATTTGGAACGTGGATACACTGAGGGGGCGGGGCCTGAGCTGAGAGTGGCGGAAGTGCTACTGGACATGGCAGTTCCTCAAGTCCAACTGAGTACACTCTGGGCTGGTGAGTGTAGCTATATGCCTTGGTGCTTGCCGAGGGTAGTATATGTCTGAGTGATCTTGAACACGTTACTGTTCAATGCGAGTGTAAAATCGAAAGGACGTCGTTTTTGAGTTCTGAAGGAGGGTCACTGGACCCGAAATGTTAACTCTGCTTTTCTTCCACAGATGCTGTCAGATCTGAGTCTTTCCAGCAATTTTTGTTTTTATTTCCGACTTACAGCATCCGCGGTTCTTTCGGTTTTCATGAATACTGTGTCAATTCTTTTGGTAGCAGTTCAATGCTCAAGAAGTGTTTTTTTTTTTGTCATTTCATTTGCAGGTTTTGATAATGTTGTCGAAAGTGTCAGCAAACTACCCCAAGATTTGTTTGCAGAGGTGGTAAGTGAGAGTTCAAGTGAAATGTTGATATCACAAAGGAGGTGAGAGGTTTGCTGTGAAGTTGAAATCCCCTGTGGAACCATTTTTTATTTTGTAGTGAGAGAATGCTGATGCAGATAAATTTAACTAGCTTTCAACACATAGCACTGATTTTATGTTTGTTAATCAGGATATATTTCTAGTACCCAAGCTTGTGTAACATACCACTACTGAATGTGCAGTGCCCTGTTAATTGTGAAAACTAAATTTCTTCCAACAAAGGTACGTGTGCATATGTAAACACAGTGCTAATTTAGGTTTTTGTCATGTCCCAAAGGTGGGAAAGTCATATTTCACAACTGTGGCAACCTCTGATTTATTTTGACAGAATTGAGAATTGTTCTTGTGCAGTGAGATGCTATTCCGCCTATTGTGTCTGCACTGGCTCATTATGATTTGATGCTATTTTGTAATTCTGCACATTGGATGATTATTTGAATAAAAACAATGCCCTCTTGAATTCTTCAGTTGAACCTGCCTGCACCATACTTCTGAGCAGTGCATTCCATGCCCCAACTACTTGGTGTGTGGAAAAAGCTTCATTCTCTCATTGCATTTGTTTCTATTACAAAACACTTCTAAATCTGTACCTTTTCTTTCCTGATCATTTTATGAGCAGGAATAGTATTTCCATGTCTGTTTCTGTCCAGACCTATCATGACTTTGAAATCTTCTATCATTTCTCCTCTTAGCCTTCTCTCCAAGAAACCAGTTCCAAGTTCTCCATATAAGTGAAGCTTTTCATCCCTGGAGCCTCTTCTGTGTTCCTGCCATTTGCATCCCCATCCTCCCTGAAGTGTGGTGTGCAGAACTGTACACCATACTCCCATGTAAGTGTCTCGTACATAAACTCCATGCTTTTGCACTCTGAATACTTGATAAACTGGTTTTCCACTGTCCTGCCATCTTTCATGATTTGTGTGCATATACACACCCAGTTGTCTCTGCAGCTGTACACCCTTTAAGATAGTATCCTTTATTTTATGCTGTCTTCCCACCAAAAGATATCTTATCTCATTTCTCTGCATTGAACTTCTTTTGCCACCTATCTGCCGACTCACCCAACAGTTGATGTTCTTTTGCAGTCCTACGATGCCCTCCTTACAGTTTACAATGCTTCGTAGTTTTGAATCATCTGCAGACTTCAAAATTGTCTCCTGACACCAAGGTCTAGATTATTAATGTACTTCAGGAAAAGCAAAGGTCCAAATACCAATCCTTGGAGAACTACACTGCAAACCATTCCAAAGCACGAAAAATATCCATGAATCATTTCTATCTATTTCCTGTCATTTGGCCAACTTTTGTCTTCATGTTGATATTTTCCCTTTTTATTCAATGAGCTCTGACTTTGCGCTCAAGCCTGTTAAATGGTATTGTATTAAATGCCATCTTTTGGAAGTCCATGTACACCTCATCTGCAGTATTACCATTAACCACCCTTGCTTTTACTCTTATTTAAATAAAACTTTTTTTTTCTTAATTAACTCGTCCATATGACTATTAATTCCATTGCAATATTGTATTTTAGAAGTCTCAACTCCACCAATGTTAGAGTCATTAGTCTGTAATTGCTGGACTTATTCTTACACCGTCCTTTGAAGAAGAGTGTATGTTTACAATTGTCTTCTGTCACTCCTGCTGAGTCTAACTTATGACCGATGCCTCGGCACTTGCCATTCTCTGTCTTGCTTTGGTATCCATGGATGCTTCTCATTCAGCCCTGGTGCCTTGTCAGCTTTAAGTACAGAAGCTTTATCCAATGTGACCTCCTTATCAAATTTGAGCCTTTCTGGTGAATTTAAGCCTCTGTCACCATGGCCTGGATTGTGGTAAAGACCAATGCAAAGCATCCATTTCACACCTCAATCATACCTCCACTTTCATGTGTAAATCCCCTTATTGATCTTTGATTGGTTCTACAACTCCTTTCACTGTCTATAGAAGACTTTGCAGTTATGTTGGCTACTAGTCTCTTTACATAACCCATCTTTGCTTCTCTTAGATGTTTTTCCACCTCCTCTTTTTTTTATTTTGAACCTTCTATATTCAGGCAAGTTCTCAATTGTATTTTCCACTTATTGCCTGTCATAAGCACTTTTTTTTTTTCTCCTCTTTAATCTTAATTTCTATCTCACTTTTCATCTAGAAGTCTCTGGAATTGTTTGCCTTACAAATTCCCTCAAAAGGGAAGGGTCTTTTCTGGATCTGAACCATCTGCTACTTGAAGGTAGCTCATTGTTCAACCACAGCTTTTCCTGCCAACATTTGACTCCAGTCTATTCAGCCCAGCTCCATTCTTGTACCACTGAAGTCAGCTCTTCCGCCAATTTATTTTCAAATCCCTCAAGATTTATAAATTTGACTAATGCTATGCATGTTTAACACTTGATAATGAGTCAAGATACTTTGAGAATGTTGACAGGCAATGGCCATTAAGGATTCAACAAAATTCTGATCATCAGGTTGAAAGAGACGACTGGAGAATCAGATGATATTGACCTACTGATTACACTATGTAGAAAAATAATGCAATAGGGATAGAACTTTTCTTTTCATCTTGTAGTTGTGATGATTTGAGTTTTACTTAGAGTCATACAGTACAGAAACAGACGCTTTGATCAAACTTGTCTGCACCCACCAGGAATCCCAATCTGATCTGAATCCATTTGCCAGCATCTGGTCCATATCCCTCTAAACCCTTCCAATTCACATAACCATCCAGATGCCTTGTAATACATTGTAATTGTACCTGCCTCCACCACTTCTTCTGGCAGCTCGTTCCACGCATGCACTATACGGCATAAAAAAGCTGACCCTTCAGATCCTTTTTAAATCTTTCCCGTCTTGTTACATAAATTATTTGCATTCTGTCCAAGGCCAATAGATTGTAATTGCACTCCTTGCCCTTTGTTTAAACAAATCCATAGGCCAACTAATAAGAATGATGTGGAGGAACAAACATGCAAGGAAATTACGGAATATTGGAGACTATTGGGAGAAGCAATGGCCTAGTGGTATTGTCGCTATACTACTAATCCAGAGCCTGACACAATGTTCTGGGGACCTGGGTTCAAACTCCATAATGGCAGATAGTGGAATTTGAATTCAATAAAAATGTGTAATTAAGAGTCTAATGGTGACCCTGGAATCATTGTTGATTGTCAGAAAAGCCTATCTGGTTCACTCATGTCCTTTAGGGAAGCAAAGTACCATCCTTATCTGGCCTAGCCTACATGCGAGTCAAGACCCATTAGTAGTGTGGTTGAGTCTCAACTATCCTCTGGGCACTGAGTGCTGGCCTAAATGCCCATATCCCATGTCAGAATTATAGAAGTTATAATGGGGAATGTTAATTACCCAAATTATACTGGCAGTATAAAAGGGCAAAGGGGATCCAAGTGTCCCTGGATTGTGTTAAGGGGAATTTTCTACAGCAATGTGCCCAATCGGAGGCAGGAAGCATTGCTCGACATGATTTTTCAGAGCGAGGTTAAACAGCGATTACAGGTAGAAAAGAACAATGAGCAATCCAGGAGCTGCCAGAAGAAGTGGTGGAGGCAGGCACAATTACAATGTATTACAAGGCATCTGGATGGGTATGTGAATTGGAAGGGTTTAGAGGGATATGGACCAGATGCTGGCAAATGGATTTAGATCAGATTGGGATTCCTGGTGGGTGCAGACAAGTTTGCTCAAAGCATCTGTTTCTGTACTGTATGACTCTAAGTAAAGCTCAAATCATCACAACTACAAGATGAAAAGAAAAGTTCTATCCCTATTGCATTATTTTTCTACATAGTGTAATCAGTAGGTCAATATCATCTGATTCTCCAGTCGTCTCTTTCAACCTGATGATCAGAATTTTGTTGAATCCTTAATGGCCATTGCCTGTCAACATTCTCAATGTATCCTGACTCATTATCAAGTGTTAAACATGCATAGCATTAGTCAAATTTATAAATCTTGAGCAATTTGAAAATCAAGCCAAAAACTGAACAAAATTTACCTTTCCAGGACAGAAACGTGTATAGCAGCAAATGTGACCATCAATAAAAGTAGACTTTCTGTAAACATCTGCAAGGCAAAATTACTCAAACTGCTCTATTGCATCCATCTATATCTCAGCAAGTTTAATTCAGTTAGTGATTGAACAATGGTGTGCAGTGCATTAGCTATCTTACTAAATGGACGTAATAGGGTGATATCAACAAATGATTCAAAGTGTCTAGACGAAGGATGATAATGTTCGCAGTCCAGGAACGTCTGCTGTAAGTGTAGAGATCAGGGGTCAGGCTGTGTATCATCTTCCTGTGGCAAACAAGCTGCCAATGGACCCTGACAAGGTTCACATCTGACCATTGATTGTGCAAACATAGTACCCAGGAGACTGACCTACCACAACACAGGAGGGTTTCTGTAACAGAACAGAACAAAGTAAACATAAAACAAAGAATTCCAAATCATTTTCAAATATGTAAAAGCAAAAGGCTACAGATGCTGGCAATCTAAAATAAAGACGCCAATTTATGGAAATACTCAATAGGCCAAGCAACATCTGCATTGTGGTCCAATCATTTCAAATTGTGTTCGAGAGACGATATTTTTAACATGTTTTAGTCAGGATGTACATTAGACAAACTGCAGACATCCTGAATAAACCCTCAAGTATTACTGACTTCAGGTAGAACGCAATAAAAAAAATCAATGCCTGATATAAACTCAAACTGTAAGTGATGATTTGGTATTAATAAAGTTTACATCTGTAAAATTATATTCCCAAAAAGCCAAAACTAAAATTTGTTTTTTTAGAAAAGGAAATTACAGTTCTCAGCAATTACCACAATGTAGTACGTAATAGTGAGATGAATGGTGGGGAAAAAAAAAGAAACCTCCAAAATAAGGAGAACACCTGTTCACAATGTAATTTGATTATAGGGACGATTAGTTGATAATGGCGAGGCTTAAAAAAACTAAGCGAGTTCAGCCATACCCTCCTGTGAACCATCCATCTTTGCTTGTAGTGATACAAAACAGCTCTTTGGGTCAAATCAACATCATACTAATACTACTGCATAAACTGTTTGGTTTTTGGGCTTGTGAACATCCACTAACAACAATGCTGATGCACTGTACATGTAATTTACAAGAAACACTCAGCGATCATTGGTCATTTTATAGATAATGGGCAACATCCATGTGCTGGCATCATTGTACAATGTAAATGTGCCAAAATGTTAAAGCTTTTCCCTTTGTGAAAGGCTTGTGAAATCTTTAATTATATTAGCAGGCACTGTGTGATATAATGCCAGAGTACTGTGTTCTCTTGAAATTTATCACTATTGTGCACACAGTTCACGACAGGTCAGTAAACTAAGAGTGGTGGAGGCAGGGTCATTGAATATTTTTAGGTAGACAGATTCTTAGCTAACAAGTGAGGCAAATGATATCAGGGGTATGCAGGAAAGGGGGATTGAGGGTGCAAGCAGATCATCCACGATCTTAATGAATGGCAAAGCAAGCTTAATAGTATAGCGATAATACCACTAGGCTGTTGCCTCTCCCAGTGGTCTCCAATATTCTGTAATTTCTTTGCATGTTTGTTCCTCCACGTCGTTCTTATTAGTTGGCCTATGGACTCCATTAAACAATGTCATCACACTCCTTACCTCTAGCCAAATGGATCTGTCCTTTATCCCTCTAGGATATTCTCTTTTTCCACTATTGTAATGCTATTCTTAATCAACACCACCACTCTTCTCTTCTACCTTCCCTACATTTCTTGAACACTCTGAAACCAGGAATATTTAACATCTAGTCCTGCCCTTTCTTTAGCCCGGTCTTTGTTGGTTTCATGACACCATTCCCTCCACGTGGCAATCTTCACCTATAACTTCCCTGTCTTATTGCACTGTACAGTGTATTCACATACATGCAATGTAACCCGGATGTTTTTATTTAGCTTTAATTTAACTTCTTGTCCTGACCCTACTATTGTTTGAATGTTTTCAGCAAAAAGTAGACTGGAGTATTGTTTGGAGGAGGTGACAGATTTAACAATTAGAGCTACTATTTATAAAAGGGAATGCAGTCACAAGGAATTTGGACAAATGAGGGGGAAATGATTTAATTATAACAGCATGTTTATTTAAATATCTTTTCAATTTAAGAACTTGTGTTCATCTCTCTCTTTCTCTTTCTATTTTTTTATATCTCATCAATTGACTATAATTAGTGCAGCATGGGCACTAACAAATAGTTTCCAGTTTGTGTATTCTTGTGTTTTTAATATACATGTTTGTTCAATTCATAACAGTGCCAACAGATTATGTTATACCTACAATGCAAAATCCCTGGTGTGAATACACTTGAACTGGTTGAAGTAAGTTGTTGAATTAATGATTTAAATACTCACTCAGTTGGTTTCACTTGCTTTGTTTTTGCCCTGTTCACATATTGTTTTGTTTGAATCTTGCACAATAGAGACTTCAAGCTGCTGGTGTTGAACTGGATTTTGAAGCTACCAAGGAGTTAGTTCACGTTATCTCCTTGTTTTTCAGGTAGCAAACATTTATAATATGTCTGCCATGTCTGTGTTTGTTTTGAAATGATTCAGATTGTAAACTTGATTCTGTAAGAAATACAATTTCAAAGTTAAGTGTAACCTGCTCACCTGGATTGAATGATCCATAGTCAATATAACAGTGCTTGGAAAAATGTTTAGCAACTGAAACAACTAGTTAAATATTTCAAGAGTAAAATGTGAGAATCATTTCTATTGTATGTATTGTAAACTGCCCTTGACTGGATATTAACTGTAATGCACTACAGCTTTCAGATCAAAATAAGATTTGTCTAACTTGATTCAGCTTTCACTTTTGAATACCATGCAAGCAAACTAAATTATCTGCCTCTTTCAGGAAGTAGTGTAAAAGCATTTGGTCATAACTGAGGTTCTCCTGGTTAATTAGAGTCATATAGCACAGAAGCAGACCCTTTGGTCCAACTCGTTCACACCAACCAGACATCCTAATCAGGCCCAGTACCATTTACCAGTGTTTAGCCCTTATTTCCCTAAACCCTTCCAATTCATATTGCACACCCAGATGCCTTTTAAATGGTGTTATTGTACCCGCCTCCACCGCTTCCCCTCACAGCTTGTTCCATACATTCATAAAGTTAATCCTCAGGTCCTTTCTTAAACCTTTCCCTTCTCACCTGAAATGGATGCCCTCTCTGTAGGAAAAAGACCTTGGCTATTCACCCTATCCATGCCTCTCGTGATTTTATAAACCCCTATAAGCTCACACCTCAGCCTCCAACACTCCAGGGAAAGAAGCCCCAGCCTCTCTCCAGTCAAATTGGCCAGTCCTGGCAACATCCTCCACTCTTTTCCGCAACATCCTCCCAACTCTTTTCCGCACCCTCGAGTTTAACAACTCCCTTCCTAGGGAA